AAAAGCTTCAGAACAAGTGGGACGTTATAAGCCCACATTCCTCTGCCTCCCATCAGTCTTCAAGAATGAATCCAGTTATCTTGATTTCTGTTGTTGTTCTGTGCGTGGTGTATTCAACAGCAGACAGCTGCTTGCGAAGCGCTGAACTTGAATATAAGAAGTTTGGAGAATTAGATGGACCCCATAAAGATTTGCTCAGAAAGAACTTCAACAAGAAATTAGTGCGTTACTGCAGAACAATTCTTTTTTCTCATGACTATAATAGTCATGTTGGAAAACCAAAATGCTTTGCAGGATGATGGAGACCTAGTGGTTTCGTATCAAGCTGATCGGCACATCGACAAATTAAGCGTGATAGATGTCACCTTCCCTACGGTCATTCTCTCACGAAAGGTACATGAATATTAGTGAAAACCGGTCACTTCACTTTGTTTTTTCTCGACTTTTGTTTTCTCACAACAATGTTTTCGTTTAGATCAGAAAGCCAATCTACTTCGTATATCGCCCTGTGTCAGATTTCAGAAATATCAGTGCGAAAGAGTTTATTGATACTTTGTATAATTGTGAAATCGGTGATGTACCTTCTATGATAAAGAGGGCGTAAGACTCTCTGTTTTCTGAGCCTCGAATAAAGCTTAATGATAAAGTGGTGGTGGCATTGCACCCATCTCATAAATTCAGTTCCACAGGAATAGAATATAAAGGAGGAGCATAAGTCTGACACCAGGTGCCTGAACTGACTACGAGACTGGGTTTCAACGGAAGCTTCAAAATGGGCAATCACCAGAACTCTGAGTAAACAAGGAACAACTGAAGACACAGTCACGATTATTGTAAGGAAATTAGAAGGAATCAGTACAACAGCTGTCGGGGAGTCTCGAATAATGACTTTTAGCGTGCTGAGCTCGTAACGATACAAGTGCTTTTGAGGATCTGGGTGAAAATATTATATCTATTAGGCCAAAGTCGAAGGTAGCATGTAGTCGCCAGTCATAGGTGTATCAGCCTGAGCAGGTAGACGAATTCCGCCTCAATGTCACCATCCACACTGTATGAGACCCGTCAATAGTTCTTCCTGTTGTCTCACTACTTGGAAGGATATCTTCTATCAGCTTAGGATAATAATGATGTTAGGTGTGAAGATCTACTATGATCAGAAAGTGCCTTCTGAAAGTTGTGGATGCTAGTCAATGAGAAGTTCATATCTCTTTTTTGGGATCTCAAGGTTGATGAAAGTCTATACTCATACAATTATGCGTTTGTTGCTCTCTAACACGAGCACGACTGCTACAATTCAGTAAAGATGTGAGTCTGCATTCTTCTGCGTTGAATGCTTAGAAACTACATTACAACTGCATTTGAATTGCAAGACGGGTACGAATAATAGCTGAATTNCTTCGTAGAGCCTAAGACAATTCCTATTTTTGAAGCATACTGTATGAGCTAACCGGATCTCTTCTTCTAGAGTACAAGTACCACTGATTAAATATAAGTGGAAGCATTTAAGCAAGTGAGTTGTAAAAATATCGGCGCTAATGACTCTCCTCATGATATACCTACGGGAGTAGGCAAGAATATAACCCTATGAATCGCATATAAGCATTTAAGTGGATTAGTTCTTCGTCTGCAAAACTTAACTGCTTTGAAAAAAAGAAAGGCCAAAGAAATTTGGAAAGGTGACAAGCTTCACCGCAAAAGCGTGGCCACAACAGTGGTGTAGTCTCTTCGTAACGCAGAGGGGTTCTATTCGTTCAACACACATCGAGGTAAGGAAGGTTGTGATGAACAGCCAAGGTTGCATTCCAAAAAAGCCACGAAGTAAAGGACAGGTGGAAAAATACTAAGAAAGATTAAGAAGACAGAAAGAATTGAAAATTTCATAGCAAAGACCAGAATTAAGTTGCGAACCGAATCTATTTGATTTAACATTTCTTCAGGATGCTCCACTACTTCTAATTTCAAGGATCATTTTGCAAACTATAAACTACAAATAGATACCTTGGGAAAAGCCCTTGCTCAAAGCAGTATTAATGCAGTTAACTCCAGGAATTTTCCCGTTGATTACAAAGCAACACACGTATAGTTCACTCAATCGGTGTGTGTTGGGTGGTTCATAGGATATGCGCTATAATGAGATAAAGAATGCTGTATCGTATAGTCTGCAGTCGATAGTCTTTCCATAAGGCTTTATCAAAGCAGTAGTGGACGATGAGGGAACAACCTTCACAACGATGATAACAACGACAACAAAGAACCTCTCTGGCCAGTAAGGTCTTCATAGCCCACCAACACCTTCATTTTGATAACCCCTCTCGAAACAACCATGCATGACGGTTTGCTGAATCATTATGGCAACTGTTACGAAATCTCCGGAATCTCTTTCCAAACCAATTTTCATATCTACCAATTTTATCAGAAAGTCAGCTATGCTAACAATGTGGTGGCGACGTCATCGAAACACTCATTAAATATTGCTTATAAAAGCCTTGGAATAAAAGAAATATTACAAGCTTTATCTAACTGGCTCTCACCATTCCTTGAAGCATGAATTCCATCGCCCTACTTGTTTTACTCAGTGTGGTCCATTCAGTAGCGGAAAAATGTGTAAGCAGCCGTGAGCTTGAATATAAGAAATTCGGAGATTTCAAGAAAGACCACGAAGTTTTTGCAAAAAGCAACTCAGTAAGAAGGATTCCGTAGGTTATCTTAAAGACACTTTATTTTTCAGTAGCACAATAATTCCAGCGAGAGTAAAACTTTTTGCACGATGACAACGATCTAGTCGTTCAATATCAACTGGATTGGCACACTGAATTAAATACGATAGACATTTCTTATTCTACCGTCACCCCTTCACGAAAGGTAGGCGAACATCTACCCATTGGATTGCTTGCACCAGTGGCTTGAAATAGTGCCTTACTTACTTCACGTAGTACCCCTTGAAATCACAATCACCAAACTCAAGCATGAAAAGTTCATTGATGCTCTGTATAAGTGCCACTGTATATTGCCACTCTCTAGAAAGATCGAACACAGTTATTTATGAGTATTGAGTAAAGTTGTGTATTAACGGTGTTGATAGTGTCATTTGACATATTAAAGCACAGTTTGCGATATCAGCTGTAGACGATCAATGAAAGTGTTAGTCCGAATAGTCCAAAAGTGACGAGGAAAACTATAAAATTGGCGCAGTCATACAAAAACAAAGCTTCAGAAAGAAGTAGACCTAGGGGATCGGCGATAGTTTGTTGCGATAAAAGTTGCATACGAGGGGTATTTGGAAGGGCTGTACAAATGTTCTTGCCCCTGTGTACAGTTGACTACAGAAAACTGCTTGCGTGCAACGTGTGCGTCCCTGTGCGAATGGTGCAATCTCTTCAGCCTCGTCCCATTTGGGGTGTGCATGTCAGCTGACTGGTTCTGAGGCTATTATTACGCTCTATTTAGACCATTTTCGATCCAACAGTGTCCATACTTTTTCTTTATCGAAACGGTGCCTTTAAGCTGCGTAGGCCTTAGCTTTAATAAAATGACTATTCTAAAAAGAAGGAAAATTCCGGAAAATGGCTCTATCTTCTCTGGGAGCAAGGTACAACGTTTAACTTCTATGGCTATTCTACTGCAAGCCTTTCTACAACGTTACACTTCTTCGAAAAACGTTTAAATGTGTGGGCACACTGTCTTTGAAGAAGAACTCCAAAAGGTGGCATAATTTAGTTTTCCTCTCTTGCCTATCCACGAAGGCATTCCAGATGTAATACTATCAAACCTATCCTTGACTCTCTTAATAAAAGAAGGTGAACTGACGATCTAATCGTAGGCACGAAACTGTAAATGGTTTAATCTCTTGTAATGCGAACTGCGGTCTCATCTGCAGGATCAACTCTATGAAGTACTATATGTGTATCGGGCACAACTGGCTTTCTTTCTATAAATTTGACTTTTCTCTTCTCTTTTTACCAGACCTCGCCACTCAACCATACTGCTCATTCCATTTATTAGATATATTTGATCAACTAATTGATGAATTGAACAACTGCTACTGCTAGGGACTTAGCGATGCATTCCAGTTGTTTTACAATGAGAACTGTTCGCACTTTGTATTATGAAGTTTGCATTGTAGATGATTAGGCAGACTCTATTCCTTCTCGGATCTTACCCGAAGGTGAAATTGATGGCAAAAAAGTACCTCAAAAGAGAGCAAGGAGAAACATAAATCTAATGAGACTTCTGCGACGAGACATACGATGAAATCAGGAAAAAGGGACAAAGCAATGTGGTGACCCGCTATGAAACATTCTCACGGCTGTTCAGAGAGATCGTGAAGTCAATTGCTAATGAGAAACTCATAACAAAATCGTAAAAGTTTCTGTAAAATAGTAGTGGAAAAGTCCTGCAGAAGATTAGTCTTACAATTGACTAATCCAATATCGGAGTCGTCGTTATCGTTGGCGCTACCGGTATCGGCTCAATCTTTGGCCATAATCGACTGAGGCCAGTGATTTTCATGAAGTGCTCTCTGAAATGCTTCTTTTCACAGAATCACGGTACCATTGAGTAAAACGTGTTACTAACCAGCGATTGAAGCAGCACAGCGTTAAAGGCACAGTTCACTATAATTTTGGGTAACCCAGATTATGATGAAAAATGGAAGACAAGATGGAAATAGTGCGATGGAGACGAAGGACCTGCGTGGATCGGAGTTTCCAAAGTGAAAAAAGGCTTCGAAAAACCGTTAAAAAGGAGGCTGGACGAGAATGAGACCAGAAGAATGAAGAAGAGTGGGGCGTTTGGACGAGCTACGCCCAGTTCGTCATTGCGTACGTTTGGATCCTGGTGCAAATATCTGACTACGGTAAGCAAAAATTCATCCGCTTATCAGCATAAGTAAACAAAACCCTAGTTGCAGCAAAACTAGCTCTCCTTTTTCAGCCTCTTGGGGCAGAAAATTAAAAAAGGGATAAGCAGCAAACAGCAGCAGCACAGCAAAAAAGATAACAGAGGAAAAAAGAATGGGAGCAAAGCATCGCCTCATCACTCGGCTACCCTGACCGTCGAGATTTTGGGAGCGAGAGGGTCCCTTCTACCACCCATGAGGGTCACTGAGTATTTCTAAGGGAAGAACTCAGTAACCATTTTCATCGTGAACCGTGCCTTTAAGCACATGACGATATTGGTCTTTCGAGTGTCTCTCAACTATTTTTGAAAATTCTATGGGAAAAAGTGCTTCCTACATGACGATACTGCCTTAAAAATGAAAAAGCCTTATATTCCCCATGGTTTTATACTGGCCTGATATCTTGTTGGAACGTGCTCCATGTATGGTGCCTTACCTATATAAAGCTAATAGCGTCAAAAAGCCAAGGTTGTTCATGAAAATTCAAAAAGCCCATTCAGCCTCAGCTTTCTCGCTTAACTACACGCTAGTGTTACGGCCATCCTGTTTCTATCCTTTCGTGAATGAATACATCCTAACAAAAAAAGTGACTATCGATTGGAACTAAGCTTTGATCCAACTTCTATGTCACCTTCTACTTATCAAAAACCAACATTACCTGTAGGCTTTTGTCATGATGATCATTGCTACAGTACCGTTGAATGCCTTCATGGAGAACATCACGCTACCAATCCAAACATACGCTGAAATGACTTTTCTGATTATAAATGCTAGCCATAAATAGTATACCAAGGCATGAACTTTTTAAATCGTAAAATGAAAATCCTACATAATCTTCACTTAATCGGCTATTGTTTCACATCTTGTAACGAGCTTCTTATTTTGTCTTTGGTGAATGTCAAGTTTCATGATGTTCATTCCTTAGAAGCTACGCATAAGGCAGTCTTCTTGTACTTTCCAATCTCTCACTTAGAGAGACTTTGATTTTGTTACGAAGCATCGCATACGACTCATACGGTAGAATAGAAACGATCGAAAAAAGGTGGTAATTCAGATCTCCTCACCGTCGGTGGAGGTTACTAACGTTGGTCCGAGACTGAAAGATACTGATAGCATCAAAACAGGAATACATAGTGTCATTGTGATAGCAGTAGTCTGGAAATAAACTGTGTTTCCAAAAAAAGTAGTCGTAATCGTATACCCTTCTTTAAGATTCTTGTCGGGGTACAAAAGAAGCAGCTGCTCCTATTATGAGGAGCGATTTGGTTTAATTACCAAACTGGGTTCGATTCCCAGACCGATATCCGCCTAGGCCGATCATTCTATCCCTCCGCGGTCGCTTATTCGGTACCATCATTCTGGGAGAATAAAAGCGCTGAGTTGTAAATAGATTCTGTAGTGCGAATCCATCAGACGGGATTACTTAACCCATTGGAGACCGCGCCTTTTATACTGACCTTACATTAACTTTTAATTTCTCTTATAACTGTAGTTGGAAATGAACGATTCATGGACGACGATGCTTCAAGCTTCTCTAGAAGGCTGTGAGCTCAGCTGATACTTGAAAACATGAAAAAGTTATAAGAACACTTGATAAGTAATATAAANACGTTATGGTGTGGCCCGCCGGCAGGCCACGCGGTCGTCAATGGGTTAATGCCCAAAGACTTTATCCTTATCCATATATGTAGCTCACCTGGACGACTAAGCCAGACATAGCGCTCTGATGCATCTTTCTTGACATTTCACTAAATCGTGCTTGATTTTTAAGCATAATTGAGGTGTGCTTTATGATAACCACGAATATAATGAATGAAATAACAGAAATTGCGGTAGCAAAATAAATCCACATAAGAAGAGTCGGTCCACCAAGAAGTATAAAGCTATCTCCAAGAAATACCTTGGAATCAATCTGAAGAAGTATCTGAATGTCTGAATAGCGATTAGTGATTATGTGGAACTATTTTACCTTCCTGACTTCAGCGACGCTTTCGTCATGTTCTTGGAAAGCCATGGTGGCAAATGGTACTGACATGCCAACCGATAATACGTATGTGCTAACGATAATTATTGCAAGAAGACGATTTGAAATTTTAACATTTGCAACGAATAAGAGAAGTCGATATCTGTAGATGTAAGCAGCATTCAGAGCGCAAGTCACACAACAGTAAAATCCTGTGTAAATGCCCTGAAAAGCTTCACTATGCCTTCTGAAATCTTTCTAAGAGATTTCATCATTAAGTGATGATAAGTACTTAAGACATCTGTTTGCTTGTCGGGAGTGTGTGACGATGTAGCTCGGTGTGAGTGTGTACGGCGATGCATACCTTCACTTCCGTTTTTACCTAGAGGGTTCAAATTTGGAAGGGGCATCGGTGGCAAGTCAGGAACTGTGGGATCTCTTTCACGTGGTGGACCAGCTCTGCATCCTACCTTAACGTTACATTGCCCTACCATTATTGGTAGAGGGAAATTTATGTTCATAGACCTAGACGCTTCAAATTGGAGAAGGATATAGTTGGCAGGATGATAACACTGATAATTGACAGCAGAACTGATGGTGTACGCCCTTGGAGCCGCTTGTGCGGAAAAATTCACTCCCTTAGACCATGTACCGTCTGGATTCGGATGGGCTTTGGGCGACAATGTGAGGACAGTGATGGCCTGAAACGGCTGAGGTCAGTACCACCTGTATCACTACCAAATTATAATAGAACGCTCTGGATCTTGGCGGAAAGGCTCGCACGAAGTGTGGTGAGGTATGTGTTCGGCTCAACATTCATAAATCTTGTCCTTCTGAACATGGAACGTTCAAACCTGGAAGGAATAATGGATATGACTTCAACGTGGGGAGGGCGATCCGACTGGTACTATGGTAACAGTAACAGAAGTTTTAGTAACGTAAATAGCTATCAAATTTAGTGATAATAGGAAGAACTAGTGTAGGCTTAGGTGTGACGAAAATCTCATAACAGTTCCTTTGTTGAATCTCGAGATCCCTTCAGAAGTGAGAAGGGTCAATTTGCATCCATAGATCGGGTTTCAAGTGGATATCCACTTCGCCCAACCAGGACTTTCATCCCTCCTTGCTCTTGAACCTCACAATTGATTGCAGAGCGAGTCATATATTCATGCAAGCGATACCACTGCTTGGAATGTAAGCCGATTGAGTAGGCTAGATCTAAGTCGGGCTCGATCAACTCCTAAAACTTTAGCTTTGCTTTTAATTATAACAGAAATAGCAGCTCATGGAAAGCTCCTCTTTCTACGCTTTTATGCATATTTTCTCACGCGATCTTTGTTCTTTTCTTAATATTTGTTGCTTCGATTGGATATTTACAACTTTTGTCACAGTGTTCGTTTTGCCTCATTAGATACAAGCTCCCCTAAGGAATTCCACAGTTGAAGAGGGTAGATTATTAGGAAAATTGACTTACGAAAGGATATTTCGTTGGCATCTTGAACACCTTGCACAGTAATCCTTCTGCATTGACTCCAAAATGAGGAGTCATCCATATTACAGATAAAAGTACAGTGTAGTATATTGTTTCTACATAAGCTGCAACCTGAACATCGAACAAATACTGGGCTTCAAGGAACTTTTGAGTTATGGGCTTCGCTTCAAAGATGATGGAAGATTAGAAAGAGAATGACATACAGAAAAAACGAGGACATTTTACTGTTGGAGTATCACCTGCATCACCTATCGGCCCGTTGATCGTCGATTCCTTCGTGCGGGAACCGCGGGGCAAAGCATTTCTTTCGTTCAAAGCTTTGGTGATGAAGTCCGACTATTCTGCTCCTTGTGTTCGCTTGACGTCCCGAGGGATCCAGCCAGTAACCGCCCTGATCCAATGGTCATCACGATATCGCGTAACGAATCCAGCCCACTTAATGCCCGATTTCTTGGCGTAACCAATGGGCGTCGACCAATGCTATCTGGGGGATGAGCCATCGCCTTCGACTTCTTTTCAAAATCGCAAGCGATGGATTGAATGTGTATGTGACCTAAGTCGCGGTGGCCAGCCAAGACTGGTACCAATTAACCGATCGCGGAGGGATAGAAGGTCTGGTTGGCCTGAGCGGATGTGGATCCGGGATTCGAACCCGTGACCATGCGTGTATCACGTGTGCGTGTACCTGTGATTGTGCACCACTTGCCACTAGCATCTCGCCCGAATACTCAGATACATGGAATTAAGATTAAAATTACCTGTATATTGAGCAAATAGTATTTATAGGTACTCATTTGTGGAGGGGAAATATTGAATATTAAGTGAAGTGAATAAGTAAAAGCTATCGTTGTGATGACGGCAACAGCATAAAACGAGTAGGTGACATTGTTGACCAATTCCTAAACCAGAGAGTTTTATTTTTGGACCTTTACAATTTGCTTACTTACTTGTTTACCAGCTTATTCATCGTACACTACAACACAGGAAACCGCAATTCACTCATCAAACAATAAGCAATGACTTACATAAACTTACAATAGTCATTTCCGTAGAAGAATTCCTTGCCTGGTCTTAAACGACCTCTACGAAAGTATCCTGAAAAGAGCCTTACTTGTAAATACAACTGAAAGCCGTATAAATATGATAGTTGAAATGTAATAATCGCGAAATAATGCTGAGGATAGACCTGATTAGTTGTTTTTCTGTTTGCTGCGGCCTCTGTAGTAGGATGTAGGTGGCTAGAAATAGGTGAGAAGGCTGTTTAATAGGAAGGTTTCATGGTTGTAGTTGAATTTTTGCTTCAGTTACAAAATTGTATCTGATGGCGGAATGTTTTCATTATTAGCTAATGTTTTCTGCTCCCGGAGGAGTTCAACTTTGCTGAACCGATTACGGAAAGAAGTGAGGCTTTATTGGGAAAAAACGTCATCATCAGGTATACCTCAGAGCACACTGTCCTGGCACGGAGCTTTTAAGCAGAAACAACCTTACTTTTGATTATTTATTCTGGCTCTTCTAACTAAATTGGTGTATAATCATTAGGTACTCAGAATCTGACTCTTTTACGAGGCCTCTGTTTTTGGAAATATTCTTCGGTTACTGAGGAAAACAAAAGCCTGACAATGAGCTAAAACCCTCCAAATTGCAGGAGTATAGGGATCGGAATGTGACTAGAGCATTTACAAATCACACTATTTATAAGAAACAAGATGACCTAGGGACCCGGACTATGGTGGTGGTTCGATCTTCAGCGTGAGCGGGAAAAACATCTCAACTAAAATGATTAAACCAAATGCTACGCAGTACGCGATTCCATTGTTTATCCTTTACAGTTCCTATTACGTACTAATCATGTTTACCGTAATTTTCTGATGGTTCTGTTTGGAAATCATTGAAGCGATGTGATAAACAGACAAGTTCCCTGAACAAGGTTGCCCCCTAGCAACAGAATAATAAAGATGACAATACATTGTGTTATATCGAAAACATCATCGGTTTTTGTCCAATATTACGGCTTAACAAGCTCTGAAACGTTTGCATCAGAGCTAAGGCGGAACTGAATTCGTAAACTACAAAACGATTTCTATGTTTACCCATTATTACTATAAAATGAAAGGATGTGAGCCTTCACAAGATCTTAGAACATGGACTTTTCCCATGAGTAAGGCTAGGAAGTGGAGATGGAACCTTGGTCGTTGATCAGTCCTATTTTGGGATCGGTCCATCCATTCCATCACCTTCATAAGATCCGAAATGGTGCTTAAAAGCGTATTTAGGCTCCAATCAACTTTTCTCCCCTTTTTCCGCTCTCAGCTTTTTCTCCATCGAGCGAATTTGGTACCAAATGTCCGATTTTTGTTAGGAAATGAAGCTTGGGTAACCCGATGCTTTTAGGAATGTCGGGTAATGTAGTAGTAGAAGTGCTATTTCGTGTTACTCATGTTACTCAATCATTCTTCTGGGAATTGTTGGTATAGTGGCAAGTGGCAAACTATCACACACGACTGGTCCGGGATCGATTCCCGGATCGATACTTGCCTAGGCGTAGCAGGCCTTCAAAACCTCCGGGGTCGATTGATTAGGACCAGATTCGTCTGAAAGGGCAAAAGCACTGACTTATACACAGACTATAAACCTTGACTCCGTGATCCCGTTCGCATTCAGACCTCAACTACGATTCTGGATGGAAGTCCAATGTGGATGAGAGGAGGGGCATCGCGCAGACGGCACAAACTGAAATGATGCCCCGAAAATTCGAGAATTCAAAGCCTTTCCTGCCTTAGCGGGGTGACATGCTATCGTTCCCTCACCTATGACAGAAGCATGTTCTATAGGTACGTCTTACCCTGGAACTTCAAGTTCTGCTCCTACATGGATCTTTTCTTTGAACGACAAAACTCTCTGGTGGTTAACCGCTTGCGAGTCTTCTAACATCCCTCACGCATAGTAATGCTATCAATCGAAGTGATCCATGTCGGAGTATTAAATAAAGGGCCGCCTCCGGGCTGCTTCGCTCTCTCCGATCCCGATCTCATCGATCGGGAACTTTTCACACATTTTCTTACTTCTGTTAAATCAGGGCATCATACATATAATAATTCATCCAGCAGCTAGGTTATAAGCGGAGGCTGTGCATCAATTCGGGTTAGTCCACTCCCACAATGACTACTTCCAGGTACTCCTATGCAGATTTCATTATTGCTTTTGCACGCCCTAGCCATCTCCTAGTTCTGTTCCAGGATCCCAGTTCAGAGCTCATTTAGCACTGCTGACTACTTCAGGGCCTGTGGTTTCGTGAAGTGGATCATTTTAATGATTGAGTTTCCGAGGTTTCTCCCAGCTAGCTGGCTCTCAACTATTCCTAGTGCGTGGGCCGAACAACCCGCGCTTTACAGCGTCAACTGCTGCCTGTGCCGTCGTCGTCGCCATCGCTGCCAGCGGGATCTGCCGACCCTCACATTCGGCTTCACTCGCACATACAACTACACACATCCTCTTGCATTCCTTGATGATTGAATCGTCTACGACTACTTGATATTCTTTTTCTGGAGTTTTCTTCCTCCTTGTCCTGAATCGGAGCATCATGTCTTATTCGGGAAAGTTCTGGAGAAATCTTCTTTGTCAGCTTTCGCTGATTTTGATGGTTTTCCAAAAACGCGCCTTACATAAAAATTATATCAGGGAACCTCCCAACCTCCCAAGCTCTGCATAAGGAATCTGGTTACTGTGTGGAATATGGCCCCACGTCTTGCTGCTTGGCTCATTGTTGTATTTTTGGATTTACAGTCAATATCGTCAGCAACTGAGCTCACAAAGTACAAACATTCTAAAACCCATCTGGACAAGCAACTTCTGCCGATTTACAGTCTCATGAAACGTAAACGTCCTCCGATCAGATCCCTATCATTATGGCTAGCATACGGTCTGATTAGCATGTAATTGGGGTGAAAGCCACTAACCTTTCTCCATGCGACCGTTTGAATAAAACTTACCGAAAATTATGCGCCGAATTTTTCAATTTGACTCTCAAAATCAAGCGTAACCATTCCTTGTAACCTTTTCTCGAATTACTCCGTTCTCGCTGCCACCAGAAGATGCGGATTCCTACGAAGTGGGGGCGAGTGGCATGTGTTCTCCCATGTATACCACGCCTACTCAACAGGTGTTTGCGCTTTTCTATGCTGTCTTCGAAGATTGATAAAGCATCTTTAAATAGTTGGTGCAGGCTACTTGGTAATATTGATGAGCTAATTACCCAACGATAGGTAAGTCACTGCTTCGAGGACTGCTACAGCCCNCCCTGTATCAAGCCTGTAAGGTTGCTATGTTTTGCTCATCGAGGTCCTGAACAGTCTTTTCAGTAAACCTCGTAAAACAACCTTCCATTCGAAATTCTTGATTCATACGAAGTGCCTGACCTGCATACTCTAACTCGCAGAAACATCCTTGATTAGTTTTTCCAATGAGTCCAGTACAATCATAAAATTCGTTTAACGGCACTAGATTCTCTTAGCCCCTGTAGAATGAGTTTCCTGGGCCAGCTGGCGACAATCAAAGCATTCCATTACAACCCCAGCTACAGTAGCATCCGAGAAATCAAGGGGATGAGCATTCTAAGGTTTGTAATTGTCGAGAATATCTCATAAAACTTATCATAAGCAAGGGTGTACTGTTCAGGCTGAGCAAAGAATTACTTTCAGATGTTTGGTTATTTCATTAGGTGCGTCATCAAGCCTCCGCTTTCTGTCATAAACATAGCTATCTCGGCAGCTGTTTCGCGTCTTGCTTCATTGCTTCGAAAAAGTTTCTTCTTCTGTCCCTCACAGTGCATGGACGTGGACAAAATACCTACACTCCCACGTAATTTAATTGTTTGCGTCGTTATCGTTGAGTATTCACGCAGAGCAAAGTCATATAACTATCCTACCATGAACATATACAACATTGGAGGCGTCACGGCTCTTCAATTTCGAGAAATCCAAGTTACATCTCTGAGTTTTTGAGGACAGACCCTTGCCGAACTGACCAGCTACACATCTCATCCATCTCATCCATCTCAATGTCTGTTAGGAGCTTCCGAGTTCATTCGATAGACTTGGTTCTTACGTACCAGCAAGACACAGTTCCAGCCTACGAAGAGATCCGCTCCTGAATACGATATGCACAACTAAAAGGAAAGGCCTTTCTCTTCCTATCCTCAGGTCTCAGTGCTCACTAAACTTCTACACCAAACCCACTTCACTCATGTGCAGCTTTGCGTTTATTAAGGTTGTTTGGAGGTTCGGTTAGAGGACAAACCCTTTCTAAAAAAAGTTCAAGCATTTAGAACAAAAAGCTAGAACTTGTAGTATTTATTGACGTTCTCGGTAAAGGGTTTACGGCGCTTGACGGTACCGAGGTATACGATTCTCCTATACGCCCTTCGACGTTTCTTTAATAGAACCTTCCATAAACCCGAATTTACGTACTTATCTGCACTTTGCAAGATATAGACGCTAAAGATGAGCAGTGAAGCACCACATATGGTCCCAATTTTCTTTGCTTCCGTAGCATCTTATTTCGACTTTTCGCTTTGAGGTGGAGTTCACTGAGCATAAATGAATAATTTAGTGTGATTCCAGTTATGTCAGACTTTCACGAGAACCTTCGCTTCGGCGGCCCTCAGATGGCAGATGCAGACGGCGATGTAAGTCCAGTTAAAACAGTCTAATGAGTACAGCTTATCAGTTCAAAACGTTTTTCAGGATGCCGCTCGCAAAGCTGAGGAGCGAGAGCGTAAGAAGGCTGAAGTCCGAAAGAGGCTCGAGGAGGCCGGTAGCAAAAAGAAAGCTAAGAAAGGTTTTCTCACGCCAGAAAGAAAGAAGAAACTTAGGGTAAGATGAGCTGATCAGCGTTTGCATATGTACTGAATTTTATTACAATGACTCCAGAAACTTCTTATGATGAAAGCCGCTGAAGACCTCAAGCAACAACAATTGCTGAAGGCCCAGGAGCGACAGAAGGCACTCGCCTCCCGAATTATCCCACTCCCAGACGTCGACAAGATCGAAGACAAGGGTAAGTAGGAGAAATCCTGACCCGAATGGATGAGGACAGCTAAAGTCTCTAAGAAAAACACACTCGCTCCGTAAATGGCGATTCTAGTTTTGTCTGAACGTCTTGTGACGGTTCTGCCAAGGACTGACTGTTTGGGAGCACCCAAGACCCATCTGGGAATTTGATCAGGAAGTCAGTTTGCGAATATCTTCATATCAACAGCGTTACTGCTGTTCATTAGATTGCATCAAGCGATCGTTTGTCCAGCCTTGATGAATTTCGCCTGTGCTCAGCTTTACAATGGCCGCAGTTCCCCGGAGCGCTCAAAGTTTTTCCAGCATCTAAACGTCCCCGCACACATTGCATTGCGCTCTCTGTTCGGCTGTAATATAGCCCACACCCCTCGAAACAACACAGCGATACACTGATAAGCAGCGAGAAGCTACTGAATGAGGCAACACACGAACGATGAACTCATGGTATTATTGAGATAGAAAAATGAAAGTTTTTTGCTACTGGCAAGCGCTCCTATGAGATTCTAACGCAGAAGAATTCCTGTTTCCTCAACTCTTCACAGAACCTCAGAGAAATGTGTTACAAATACAGTGAGTTTTCAGAGGCCAGCTTTGATTCGGGATTTTGTTAGCTCAGTGTGAGCTATGTGCTCAATAGAAGATGAGCCCAAGGTGCTTCTAGGAGAACGAATTGAATGACCACCACTCCTTTTGACTAGGTTGACTCCCTTTGCAGTCGAAGTTGATTGATGACGGCATCCGAAAACTCTCTCTGAAATCCACAAACCCACAATGATGAGATGCACAAGCCCAGACCTTTCCTATTCCACACCCCAGTTTTCCGAGCAAAAGTTTTGATAAGATATAATGTGATATCATCCATTAAAGAACGAAAAAAAAGTTAGGAAATTTTTTATAACAAAAAAGAGAAGAATGTAAAAAGCTTTGGTCCAATGAGGTTTGATTAGAAGCCTGGGTTTTTTGGGACAACCCCAATCATCACTGAATCAAAGAATAGACGAGCTTCCTAGTCCACAAAATAGAGCAGACCACCTCGAAGAACGCTGTGACTGAATTTTTTCTGAGGTACGTCGGAATTATTGCCATACAATGCAGCAGAGATCAAGCCTTACCGAGGAACTAATATAATCATAATATAATATATAATAATATAATAATACATATATAATCATATAATATAGCTGTGTACATAACAAAAAGAAGTAGCTATTCGCTGGGTATCTTACCTTTGTGCTCGGAAAGAAAAGAATGATGGAAAGAAAATCGAATCTGTGTATGCAGTAACAGTGAAAGTAGGAAAAAATATGGTCTTAAATACAAGCCTTAATATAATACCTTTGAGTAAGGGTGTTCTATCATTCCAGGTCAGCTCGAAAAGATCTACAACGATATGTTCGAACGGGTGAAGAAATTAGAAGAGGAAAAATACGACATCAACTTCATCGTCACACAAACCGAAGCCGAAATTAACGAGCTCACCATTGCCGTAAACGATTTGCGAGGCAAATTGTAAGTAGAGAGGTCTTGAGTGAAAATCTTCGATGATTCCCATAATCCGGTCTAGAAAACATCACAAAAACTTTTCTGAATCAGTTTTTATACCTATTCAGTGCTCGGTTTAAGTATTATGAAATTCCGACTCCCATGTGCCGATCACTTGTTTGTTTTAGTGTGAAACCCACCCTGAAGAAGGTTTCCAAGTATGACAACAAGTTCAAGAAGATGGCTGAGAACGAGAAATCAAAGGTATATTTTGTTAATCTGGCTCATCCAATGGTAGTTATGATATGAAGTCGTGTGCTGCACTGCACCTTCGATCAATATATCGATCGACATGATTATGAACCCAAATAACTATTCGTTCAGGGCGAAAAGAAGGCTGACTTCAGGGCAAACTTGAAAGTCGTCAAGAAGGACACCGCTATTGATGATATTATGGCCAAGGTAGAGTAATCCATCCGCCCTTCTATTTTCTTTTGATTCCCCAAAAAAAGTAAAGCCTCAGAAGCTAAAGGATCAGTGTTGCAGACAAAGAAGAACACGGATAAGCCAGATTGGTCGAAGAAGCCTGCAGCTGAAAAGAAGGAAGAAGAAGTCAAGGAAGCCCCACCACCAGCTGAGGAACCTGAAGCAGAAGAGGAAGGTGGGATATCAGAGATTCCTATTTCGGTTTATTCGATAGTGAACTTCCATTCCTGCTACTTTCTCATCTCTGTTTTTATAAATACGAAACAGAAAGCGATAAATGTTGAATTTTAGGTGGCGAAGGAGGAGAAGAAGAAGAGGAGGAGGAGGAGGAAGAGGAGTAAATCAGAAAATCAATACGACGATCGATCACTCTCATCTCTCACCATCTACATGTTCGTCTCCTCGCTTTGGACACTTCTTGAACAATTTTGTTATTGTGTGAGTGTGTAAGACGTGGCTCATGATAACATATTCCATTCTTGCCGGCTCTAGATGTATATGAAGGCGTTTCTGAATAAACATTCAACTTGTACAAGTTTATCTGGCATACCAGGTAAAAGAGCTTTCATGCTCAGGGGCATTCCAACACCTTGAGCTCTACATCAAAATATTAGCTCGTCAAAGCGTTCCTCGCTCTTCAGGTCACCGGCTTTCGAGCTTTTGGAGAAACAATACCAACTTTGAGTTTCTGGATGTGAATGTTAATTTCCAAGGAAATCACATGTACCATCTGTCGTCCAGTTGACCATCTAGGTTCTGGAGCCGGCATGAAGTCTCCATTTGTCCCAGTAGCAGGTAGCAGGCCAGATCCAGTGGAACTTGCCTGCTCGCGGAACTTCAGGCATATCATTCCATCGGTTCAGAGCTTCCGTGATTACGTTTGCCTATCGCGTTAGTGAACCTGCTGGTGTTCGTTTGATGCCCTGAGGGACCCAGTCAGTAACTGCCCTGGTCCAACGCTCATCACAAAACCGCATGACATGTCCAAGAAGTCATTTATAGTCAGATTGAGGAGACATCAGGCGATCGAAGAAATCGCGTCGTATGTGCAATACAAAATGATTTAATCAAAACCGTTCGATAGCAATCGGAAATTTGGATTACTGTATGTATGTAGGGGACTTGTATGTTATAAACTCTTTGCTTAGTTCAATGATACCGTGGTACCACAGCACTACTAAAACGACAATGAAAATGTAGTTGGTAGGGCGAATCATCTCACAATCAGTGTTAGTATGTCAGTAACTGGAAATCACTACGGTATCCATGTTAACCAGCAATGCATTGGAGACAAAGAGGAGGATGGGCACCGGTCATTTGTGCGTTCTTAGGCGGCTCTAGCTGAGGGAAAGTAGCTTTCAACTAAGCCCTGTGATAGTAGAGGCACCGAGGTGGCTGAAATGACTACCTCGTGCGGGATCTGAAAACTCGTCTACTTTAGGGCTTGTTCCCTATTACGGAATAATAGGTAAGGCCACGCTGGTTCGTTGATAAACTAACGCTGATATGAGTTCACCCCCCCCCCCCCCCTCAATCACATTTTCACCAAATTGGTAACAGCTAGAGTTTCGTGGCGACATGTTCCATCAAAGCTCGGCTTATTGGCATGAATATGGAAATTTTGGCTCAGACTTTGGAACTGAAACTTTGGGTTATTTCAAGTTCACTGATATAAATGTAGAGCATTTTGAAGTGGATCAAATACATAGAATAGAGCGAGCACCAATACCAAACCACAGCCCTTTCTACCCAACCACCTGCTCCAATCAATACATTTCTTGACTTTGCCTTTTTTTCTTCAAATTTTTCATGTATTTCTCGAACCTTTTATTTTCACTTTCGCTAATCCTTGATATTCACCAGAATCCATTTAATTCCGGTCCCCTTATAATCTCTTTATGATATTTTGTGCTATCCTCTGCTGTCGTGGTCACCTTCAATTCGTATCGCTCCAGTCAATGACATTGTTGGTTCCAACCCAGCCTACAGGATAATTTTAGGGAAGGAACTTCTGTTTATTTTAACGTTCCCTACTTCCAGAGAGAGAAAGAAGCACTTGACACCCTTGGTGAAATTGTTAATCAATTAATGAAAATTGAATGTTAATTGAAAATAATTTGTAAGCCGTCTAAGGAAAAGACGAAATTATTTGAATCCAAAATGTCTGTTGGCCACTGCCCTATTCCACCCTGCTCCAGGATCTTTAGAAAGTCAGGATTGGTGAAAGCTGAGGCGAATACCTTACTATCGGTGGATTGTCGAGTTACGTCAACCCATTAATGGGGTGCATGTCAGTACAAAGCTTTGTTTCAGTGAAGCGAGCCTAATCAGTTTCTGTGATGCGCATCCGAAACGTTCCCCGGAACGAACTTTGAACAGACTCCATGTGTGATGCATCATACGGCAATAAGGTTCTAGGTAATTCCTACGTCCATGTTTTTGTTTTCCTTCGTCAAATGTGGGCAGTGACGAGGACATTTTTTGTTTCACTTAATCCCATGTTTCCTGGCAACGCACATAATATAAGGACATATTAGTTGACATCTGTTACACTTCATATGTTGTCGTTGTGGTTAGAAAGTTTCTCGTCATGCGTCTATTTTCCTTGAAATAACTTGCTGTCTAATTTGAAAGGTAGTTTTGGTACTTTGAGGCTTTAGGAATGAATCCTACTGCTCCCATCACGTATGCCGAGCACCTCCCTCCTCTTTGTCCGGCACTTCTCCAGAGTCATCCTAGAGAGGACCTGACGCCTTGACTTAACAGCAGATGCAATTGGTTGATGGACTCTCCAGCATTCCTGAAGAGAAAGTCGTAGGGGTATGCACAAGTTGTAGAGGCAGATGATGCTTCACCTTCATGTTTTCACAAAAAGCCAGCTGGAACAGCCTTACTGGAAACCGTTACTGAGTCAAAACACCCAATTAATTGTGCTTCTCGAATTAGTATTCGACTTACCTGCAGGCCACTTATATTCAGAGTCCTAGTGGCAGTTCGAATGCGTACGTGGTCCATGCAATGAATAGTTGCAGCCAGCCAATGTACAAACCAGTTTTTATCCTCCCGGACAATAACCCAGGAGGTACGGAAAGGCGGGAATCGATCCAGGATTTGATGCCCAGTCCATGCATGTGTGATAGTGCCCCACTGACCACTCATCACTTCTCCTGTGAAGGCGTCATTAATAGTGTAACCTAACAGTGTCTTTCTTTTGGGCAAATGCCCGAACAAAGTACTTTGCGTGACTTATCTTCACGTAGTTCACGCAAATCTTTCCGTGGCCACTTCCTGACCTAATGACGCCCCTACCATTACTGGTTGAAGTACGAACGTTGCTGTCAAGCTGTCCGGGAAACTACCCTGATTGCTGGTTCGATGCCTTAATGACAATACACCGCTTCAGAACCTAGTCTTTTCCTTTACATCCACCTCACATTCATGACCTTCTTTTTGGTATTGTCTACTCGCCATTCTGACAAAACAGTTGTTTCCCTACTGTTCAGAAAAAAGTTAATTCTTTCTTCTCTCGTGAATTTGACTCAGTTAGGAACTGTAACTCAGTATCATGGCATTTAACCTTTTTGGGTTTTTAATGGTGTTTTACATATATACATGCCACTCTTGCATTTCTAGTATCCTTTTACTACGTACCATGCGTCCCCGTATTCGACTTCCATTCAGAATCGCAGCAGCGTATTAGATGCGTATGTAGCCCATACAAGAAATTAAGGTGTGCAGCCGATGTACAAGCCAGTGCTTCTATCCTCCCAGACGATGTGGTACCTATTAACCGACCCCGGAATGATGGAAGGCTCGATTGGCCTAGGCGGATAACAGTCCGGAACCTGAACCCGTGACCGTGTATGTGAGATATCGCGCTACTTGCCTTTATACTACTCCTCCCTTCTTGTTACTATTTATCTACGTTGTTTGTGAGTGTAGGGATGTATTCCAATGAAGTGTACTGAGAACGTAATACATTACGACTTTTCAGAGGTTACAATGCTATTCAAAGCGTTTTTTGTAGTAATAATGCTACCTATCAGATTCCGTTACTGGGCTCCCCCTCCGTGACATACCGTAAAGAGATATTTCTGCTTACGCCAACATTATGTCACGTTTCTCGGAGAAAAAATGGCAGTGAGCGGGAGCCTTTCCAAAAATCTTTTCGTCAGAAAAAGCTCATCGCCCTATCTCCTATGGAGTGCACTGCATCGAAGCAATGTATGAAGTTTTT